TCTTTTCTCAAATTTACCCCCTACCAGCCTTAAATGAATCACTTTTAGCATTCGGTCCAGGGATGTCTCTCAGGTCAGCATACAGCATCTTTGTTCATATATCACCACCTCCGAAAATGGCTGTCACTGGCTAACTGCTTTTCTTTTTTTTATCTAAATCAGTTTTTCTACCTCTTCAATTGCCTATGATCATTGTTTCTTTCACACCCTTAGCAACATTAGCACTCTTGATGGTCTCTATGTTTTAAAATTGTGCTAATCGTTAATTTCACCAGCTACAAAAGCATTCTCTCCTTTGATGCCTGAGAGACGCTTTTTGTCACGCTGAGGTATCAGCACGAGAGGGTTGTCAGGTCCAAAACCAAAGTTTGGTTTGACAACCAAGACATTTTTTTCTGTGAACAACTTGGTTGAGAAACGAATTGTTGGAGATGGAAGTTGTTGGAGAAACGAGGTTTGACTTATCTGGCAGTGTTGAGGGTCAACACCCAGTGGGGTGAATTAAAGATCCCTGCGCAGAGTTCTCTGGGAAATAATGAGTATTTCCGTGCCATGTATTATGCTGAGAACTCTACATATTATTTCCTTGAATTCTTACAACCCTGTGTTAGGTGCTATTTTTATCTCCATTTCACAGAAAGGAAACCAAGGCTTAGGAATTGTAAATACAGGTGGTCTTACAGGCAAGTGTTTCAGGCAACCAGATCCAAACCAGATGGCCAGACCCAGCTCCAGCTGTCACCCCCCACTTCGTACTGCACTGCAGGCAGCCAAGGAAGAATGGAGGGAGTCTGGGCTGGGGAAGGGTGCCCTGAGGCCCTGACCTGAGGCTCTACAGTCACTCTCCAGCTCCAGTCCCCTCCGTGCTGACCCCCGGGTCTCTTGACGAATTCAGTGGTGAGCCTTAAGGCCCCATCCTGGATGTGTTGCCGCCCGAAGGAGAGGCCGTCGTGGAACTCCCAGCCATAGGGACCCACGCCGTCCCCCTGCTCACACGTGTGCCTGAGCTTAGGGGTGGTGCCATGCTGTGCCCACATCAGTCCTGGGGGTAGAATGGCCACGTCAGTCAGAGAGCAGCGCCCCTGTCCCTCTGTGTCTACGAGGACTGCAGGGTCATCCCTCCTGGGAACTCTCCTGATCCGCTCCTCCCCACCCTTGCTCTGGAGGACAGCTGGGGCGCCCAGATGAAGACTCCGCTTGCCTGCCCGCCGGGGCCCGGTTACCGGTGAGGAGGGGCTGCGGGCTGCGGGTCTTCATGCCGAAGTAGACGTGAGGGCGGTAGGTGCCCCAGAAGAGGTCGGGGGTCACGGCGGGGCTAGAAGAGTCGGGAGGCAGCGCCGGGGGCGCCGAGTGCAGCGTGACCGCCCGCCGCGCACGGTGCCACGCCAGCAGCCAGCTTCCCGACAGGGTCAGGGCCAGAGGCAGCACCACGATGACCAAAACTGCTGCCGCGACCGTGCCCCGGGCCACGCCGCCCCGGCTTTCCCGTCGCGCGGGGCCGCCCCGAGCCGCCCCCTCCGCCACCCGCGCTCCATCTGTCGGCGCGCCGCGGCGCCGCCGCTCGCCCCGAGCCATTCTGGCACGGAGGTCGGCGTCGCGAGAGCTTCGAGGGGCGGCCAAGAACCTGCGTCCTGCCTCTCCGCCCCAGCTCCAGCGTAGCGCTCAGGCGGCCACTCATCTGTACGCTGCACCTCCTGTTCCGCTTCCGCCTCTCGCCGGAAGTCCCGCCCCGCACGTCAGCTTAAGTTCCCTAGCCCGGAACTGGCGTGTCGGTGTGGCACGCGTTGGGTCTCCGGAACCGTGTCTACTGGGTCAACGTTTATTTGGTATCCTCACGAAGTCCACAGGCTAGTAGGAAAAAAAAAATCTCCCATTAGGCTCCCTTAAATATATTTATTATATATTTGCTATCCCGAGTGTTAGCGTATGCTCTGACCAGGAATCCAACTGGTGACCTCCTGATGCAGGGGAAGACTCCCACACTGCTGGAGAGAACTGGGAAGTTATCATTCAAAACTAGGAACAGCCCTAGCAGGTCTGGCTCAGTGGATAGAGCGTGGGCCTTGTTAGGTTAGGTGGCTCAGGAGGCGGCGCAAGAAATAGAGTCCAGTGAATCAGAAAAGAAAGGAAAGGAAAGTTTATTCTGCGTCCCCGGGAGACCCACGTACCCCCAAAGACAGGGCACGTGGATTCACGCCAACATGGAGGGGGGCGCTTTTTTTATACTGCGGTTGGGTGAGGGCGGGGGCCTGAACTGAGGAAGTGTCCTCAGCAGGGATCATCACACATTCAACTGAGGGAGTCTCGGCCGCAGGGGGTGGGCGGCACATTCAGGAATGGGTCAGTATCTTGTGCGGGGATCTCTGTGAACTTCAAGGAGAAGCAGGTATCTGTGTCTGGCACGCTGACCCGTGAGAGATTCCAGATCTGTGAGAAATTCCAGAGGAAGTCCATTGTCTCATCCCATGTCCGCATGTATCTGATCCGGGCTCCCTCCGACCTAACATCCCGGCCTTTTGGTGATAGGGGGCGGTGACTCTTTCTGACTGCTTCCAGCTGCGGGCTCGATCCCGGGTAGGGAGCGTGCAGGAGGCAGCAGATCAATGGTTCTCTCTCATCATGGATGTTTCTTTTTTTCTTTTTCTAATTAAAAGTATTTTTTTTATTGATTTCAGAGAGGGAGAAAGAAACATATGTAATACTTTTAACAATAAAGTATTTTATTTTTTAAATATATTTTTATTAATTTCAGAGAGGAAGGGAGAGGGAGAGAGAGAAACATCAATGATGAGAGAGAATCACTGATCGGCTGCCTCCTGAACACCCCATACTGAGGATTGAGCCCGCAACCCGGGCACGTGCCCTTGACCGGAATCGAACCCGGGACCCTTCAGTCTGAAGCCAATGCTCTATCCACTGAGCCAAACCAGTGAGGGCTAAAGAAGTATTTTAAAAATAAAATAAAAATTTAAATTAAAAAATGAATCTATCAATGTTATCTAGCCTGCCAGAGGTCTGGACCATGTGACTATTAGTCATCTGAGCTACTGTCTTTTGCTGCCTTGGAGGTGGGGGGAGAAGGGGATGCTGATAATGGGGAACAGGCTAGGTCTCTGAGGGATATTCACAGTTGTGAATATGTGAAAGTTTTTTCTTGTATTATTATTTAATTATTGTATTATTTTCCATATGTACAACTGTAAACCTACTTTTGCCCAACTCTGTATATGGAGAGATTGGTATTATTTCTAGGGCTAGGATTTAAAACTAAATTTAATCAAAGTCGTAATGACCCTAGGTTTCATCATCATGACCCAATCTGGTGGCTGAAAGCTGTGGCTTAGAAAGTTCAAATAATTTGGCCCTGGTCACAGAGATAGGAAGTGGCTAGCTTGGAACCCAGGTGTATCTGAATCAAACTGGATCATTTTGCCCACTTTCCTAGTAGGAGGGGGCTAAAGTGGACCCAGAGGAAGCCTGAGATCTGTTCCAGCAGTGTCTTTCAGCGACCCACTCAGTCTATGATTCCTTATCTTTCTAGAGGAACCCTGAAAGGACCATAATGGTGATGCATGCACTTAGAGAATTCATTTTTTTTTTCCTTTCCTACAACCCAGGAAGCAACGGAGCTTAAGGAAAGGATTGCCTATGTCCAGATTAGGGAAGGCTGTAGATAGGAGCACTTCAGTTTGACCTAGAAGAGTCAATTATTACATTTGATGGTGGTTCAGAATGCAACTTAGATTCAGTCACTTATTTGTAACCAACAGCTCAGCATAAAAGGCGTTAAAATTTCCTGGGGCTGATAGATGGGAAGCTCCATCATTTCATTGAATTTAATTTTTAGGCTCCCACTACGAAAACTTTTACAGTTGAATTTCCCACATTTGAGGAAACCGCAGGGGTCAGCATATCTGGAACGCAATGGATAAGCCTCACCCTGGGAAAACCACCTTCTCCACCTTTGTGATCATGGTATCTCCCCTGCCAGGCAGCTATACATCAAGAATTTATCAAGGGAATTTACCTATGAGGTGTGCCTTGTGGCAAAGACAACATGGAATATCCTCCATGCCACTTGGCAGGCGCTAAGGGGTGTAACCCACCCCAGGTAAGGGGGAAATGCCTTGTATACTTGTCTGGAGCAGGACAACAGTGCTTTCTGGGAACCAGCATGTCTGGGGCATAGGGGACAGGTAGATCAGATAGTCTGGGGGATTTTCAGGAAGCAACGTGTTTTAACCAGGATCTAGCTGGCCAGTGGGGCAGTAGTCACTCATGGAACAGTTTCTCCTCCACAAAAGGTATTTTCATAAAGTACAAATCCCTGTCATTTAAAAACCCTACTCCACACCCTTATGCTACTCTAGCTATTATCACACCTCTCATGGAAACTCATTATATAAAATATTTTATGTTGCATGTCTACTCCAATTTCACTATAATCCGATTTCTGGCCCCACCCTACACTGGTAGACTTTTTGCTCATTCAAAAATCACCTTCTGCCTTAGCCAGTTTGGCTCAGTAGTTAGAGCAGCGGTCACCAACCTTTTGGACCTCACGAACCACCAGTGGTCTGCGGACCACCAGTTGGCGACCACTGAGTTAGAGGGTTGGCCCTCAGACTGAAAGGTCTCAGGTTCATTTCCGTCAAGGGCATGTACCTCGGTTGCAGGCTCGATTCCCAGGCCCAGTCAAGGCACATGTGCAAGAAGCAACCAATTGATGTGTCTTTCTCATATTGATGTTTCTCTCTCTCCATCTCTCCCCCTCCCTTCCACTCTCTCTAAGAATCAATGGGAAAAAAAATATCTTCAGGTGAGGATTAACACCAAAAAAAATCACCTTTAAACCAAACCCAATGGTCAGTCCTGTCTTTTTTACTACCAATGCACCTGGTCCACATCTCTATTATAGCATTTATTACATACCTGAGTTTTATTATCCATCTTTGTATCTTAGTACTAATGAAAGGTATAGGCACAAGGTAGATACTAAATATTTGTAAATCCAACAAATGTTTATTGTACACACTATATCAGGCACTATACAAGGTGCTGGGGACAGAGGAAACAGCCCGAACCTAAAGTTCATATGTTTACAGCAATGTTTGAACCATCTCATTTAAAAAATAAGGAGTGCTTAAGAGTGGCCAAAGATAATAGCCAATTAACTAGAGCTGGGAAATTCAAATCCAAGCTGTAACTTTGACTGTAGTGTAAAGCTTCTTGTGTATTACATGGCATTGAGTCCGCTCAGACTCCTGGCAAGCCATAAATGAGTTTTGTCCCCAGTGTCCTATCCTCAACAGCCCTGCTCAACTCCTGGAAACTCATGCCTATGGCTTCTTTTATGGAGTCAATTCACCTTATACTTGGTCTTCCTCTTTTCCTGCTGTCTTCTATTTTCCCTGGCATTAATGTCTTTTCCAAAGAACCCTGCCTTTTTATGGAATACATAGAGTAGGACAACAGGCCTCTTACATAGCACTTAGTTCATTCCCAATCATGCTCTAGGTGTTAACAGATGGCAGTTCTTTAATCCTCTCAACAATCTTATGAGGTAGGCATTATTATTTTACAAAAGAAGAAAGAGGCACTGAGAGTAATTTGTCTAAAAGTTACACAGCTACTTAAGAGTAAAACTGGAAGTTCAACCTCAGGCATTCAGGATCTTTACTACACTATACTGTCTTATGGTAGTTTTCTTTTTTTAAAGGGGGAGGGGAAAAACCAGTCCTTTGTAGATAGCGCCCCTTTTTTCAAAAAAAAAAAAAAAAACACATATTTTTGTTGATTTCAGAGAGAAAAGGATAAGGGAGAGATAGAAACATCAATGATGAGAGAGAATCACAGCCCGCAACCTGGGCATGTGCCCTTGACCAGAATCGAACCTGGGACCCTTTAGTCCGCAGCTTTACGCTCTATCCACTGCGCCAAACCAGCTAAGGCAAGATAGCACCCTTTTAAGCAGAGAAGCAGTACAGTAATGCTGTAGGAGGCTCATGGAAAATGTATTTGGCAAAGCACCCAGCAAGCAGTGTCTAGAGATCCTGGATTGCCTAGCTGAGCATTTTGAAGTTCTCTAAACCAGTGGCTAGCAACCATCTTTTCCTATAAGCCAGCAGTTCTCAACCTGTGGGTCACGACCATCGGAAAACACATATAGCATACAGATATTTACATTACGATTCATAACAGTAACAAAATTAGTTATGAAGTAGCAACGAAAATAATTTTATGGTTGGGAGTCACCACATGAGGAACTGTATTAAAGGGTCGGGGCATTAGGAAGGTTGAGAACCACTGTAAGCCATAGAAAAAAATATATATACTATGTTGTAACCAAGTACATTCAGATGTACACATGTACACGTACTTTATATATCTATACTCACACATATAGTGTCCCCCCAGAAATGTATATACACACTTTGAATAATTATAAAGGCAGTATTTATTAAAATACATTTCATTTTCAAAATTGAGCTAACAGCTATTAAAGTGTGTGTACATTCTGGGGGGATACCTTGTATATAGATTTATAATTATATACTTAAAAGTTAACTTTCTTAAAAGAATACTTCTCATTTCATGTGCCATGCATGCACCGATACTTTTTATTCTATTTTACTTTATTAAAGGCTGATTTAACCTCCTAAATTGATTCACGATCCACACTAATGGGTGGTAACTGTATGAAAAGTACTTTAGGTGCTGTTCTCTGAAACAAGTAGTAGTGAGACATAACCAGTGATGTGCTTTGGAAAGATAAAATTAAGCAGCAGCAAAAATGATGAGAAAAAAAAGGAGAATGTAACAATACAGGAGAGTGAATGGGAATGAAAAGAGCATTTCAGGGGCTTTTGTTTAACATAGAATACTATGAACTTACTGACTGGGTATGCAAGGAAAAGGAGACAGCAGAGCCAGAGACAATGCTGTGATTTCCAGCCCAGGCGGCTGGGCACATGAAGTGCCTGTAAAAGGAATGGGGAAGTCAGGGAGAGGCAAGTATATGTGTATGTAAGATTATCAATTCTATTTTGAACAAAGAATGTTTGTAAGATTCGGAGAAAATCGATAGTAGGTAACCTGACTGTAGTACAGAAATTAATATTAGACCCAAACAGAAATGCATGGTTTAACCCAAAAGGGTAGTTCAAGTTATAACAGAAGATGAGATACCCCAAAAATAAAGGGGGGGGGGAGTTTATGTTTAAGAGAAGGAAAAGGAAGAGAAGTTCCATAGGGAATGAATTAAAAATGGCAAATGCTACTTAGGTGGAGAGCTCAGGGCTGAGAAAACAGCACTGGATTTGGCTAATAAGAGTAAGAGGTATCATACTTGAGTGAGTGGTGGGGGAAGCCAAATTCAAAACGGTTAAGCGTGAGCGATGGTTAGAAAATGAAATAAATTCAAGTTTGTCTAGGCCCTTCCCAGATCGTCTCATCCCAGAAGCACTGGTTAGATGTGTAGTCATAGGGCTCTTTGGGGGGTGGGGATGGTGTCTGCGGCCTCCAGACAGCGATCTGGATGATTAAGTCGAGCTTTTCGTGGATAATGTTCTCTAAGGCCCAGGCTAGCATCTGCTCGTTGGCCTCTTACGCGCTGTCAGCGGCCCGCCTCGGCGCCAGGGGGGTCCCCGCTCCCCGCCGCGCTCCGGGCCTGGACGTGGGAGGCGAAGGCAGCGAGCATTTCTTGGGCGGTGAGGTGGGCGCCGCGCATCACCAGGCGGTGCCCGTCTCCTGGGGAAGAAGCGAATGAATGAGGTACGAGAAGGCCAACCGGGCCCAGGGGGCGCGGGCTGCCTGCCGCCCCTCCCGCCCGACTCCCCACGCGAGCCCACCGAAAAGCACATCCACGCAGGGCTCGGAGCCGTCGTGCCTCACATCCACAATCACGGAGCATTTCAAGTTGGTGGCGCGGACCTTCTCGCGGCTCACCGCCTGGAGGAAGGTCCTGCGGTGGGAGAGCGGCGTGAGCGCGGGGCCGAAGGGGGTGAGACCCCCGGCGGCAGAGAAGTGCGTGCTTTTCCGTTCCCTCTCCCTTCCCCCGGTACCTCGTAGACTCCACGTTGTTCTCGAAGGGGCAGAACTGAACCCGAACCTCCTTGACGGCCCGGAGTCCTAGCCGAGCCAAGGCCGCCGCCGCCATGGTAACCTCCGCCCCGGAAGCACTCGCCCGGCCAGAGGTGCCGTACAGGGAAGATTGTGAGTGGCCGCGCAGCCGCAGGCCCCGCCCCCCTGCTTCCGCCGAGTACAGGCTCCGCGTCCCGGATCCCGTGGGACGGCGGGCCTGGGCTCCCCAGCCGCGGACGAGGAGCGATGCTTTCGACACAGGTTACAGAGGGGCCCAAAGTAATCGGTCAGCGAACCCTACCACCACTCATAGCCCTGTTGTGCCACAGCAAAGGCTGTGTAAAGCCCTGCACCTGGCTCCGAAAACAGGCCCGTCTCCTGCGTTCCCCTTCCGCTCCCTGCTGTGCCCATCTAGGTCAACACCATCTTAGGTGTCACCACGGCAGGGACATTGAAAATTAAACCTGTTGAACTCTGAGTAACCAAAGCTTAAACGGGAAGGTCCTGCAGCCCAATATGGTCCCACGACTGAAAGCAGTAATGGGGAGGACAGGGTATACAAGCCTGGGGACAGATCCAGCTACAGACTGTTTCACCTCCGGTTCCTGATGTACTAACTTTATGTTTGGTCTGACTCTGGACACTTAAGTGGCATCTAGGCTCTCTGTTTCCTGCAGCTTTTTCTCATTCCCTTTCCTCTGGGATACAACCCTATGGCCCTCCTCCCAGTGTCTAGCCCCGAGATGTCTTCACTGATGGGGAATTAGGCCTGAGCCTCCTGGCTCCAGGCTGTGGTATTGCCATTTACTCTGGATTCCAGATACTGGAGTGACCCTGGATTCTCAGCTTGTAAGCCCAGGCTGTGTAGTTTGTCCTCACGTATGTTTTCTTCCAAGCTTCCAGGTGTAGGCTTCTTTAACAGGCAGTTCCAATGTCTGGGCTTTCCCAGCCAGAAATGCAGAGCATTGACTTCCTGACTGCTGATTAGACTCCTTAGGGTTCAGGACTGGTCTCCAGGCAGGAAAGAAAAGGCAGTTGCCACCAGGGGCGGCGCTGGTGCTGCCTCAGGGCCAGCCAGGCCTGCTGATTTCCCACCAGGTAAGCCTCGGGGCTAGGTCCCCCACCCCAAAGCATGCTCAGCAGCTGAGCTGTCTGTGCTGGGGGTGCTCCAGGCCGAAGAGGGGGCTCCAAGCTCTCCAGGCTGTTGAGGCTGCTGCTGGGCAATTCCGAGGTTTGGACCTCCTTACATGCACCTGGTAAGGCAGGAGTGGAAGGGAGATGGCTGCTGGGGAGTTGCTGAAGCCAGATCAATGATGAGTTTGGGGAATGGGGCCTTTAAAGTAGTAAGGGAGGGCCCAGAGAGCCTGGAGTTGAGAAGGGGGAGTGACTCACAGCAACAAGGAGGCCTTCTGTGGACTTGAGTCTTGGGCAGGGGCTGCTGCAATAGACACAGCAGGGCCCCATCCAGCTGCTGGAAGATGTTGAGCATGAGCAGATTCTGGCGAAGTTCAGGGGACAGGCCCCACCGCTCTTCTTCCAACAGCTCTCGGACCACTCCAAAATCTTGTCTAAGCTGCAGTGTCCCCTGCAGGCTGAAGGCCGAGGTACAATGTGACCACCTGACCCTCTGGTCTCCCTAAACTGCTCTGCCCCATTTATCCCCTTTTCCAGTTCCATTCATCCCCCAGCCACTACTTCCTTTTCTCCCCACCTGAACCGGATCCCATGGGTGAGGATGTGGTCAAGCCAGGCACTCAGGATGGCTGTCAATGCCTGGACAAGGGCAGGGGCCTGGGCTGGAGGTAGCAAACCCTGCAATCCTTGCAATACAGGCTCCAGTACAGTGCGGACCACCAACCCAGCATACTCACTAGGAATGCTGGGAAGTTCTGGGGTAAGAGAAAAGGAAGGACAGGATATAAGGTTACTGAGATCTATTGAGCACCTAATGAAGTGACTGGGGGAAGACAGTAGGATTTCCAGTGTGGGGGTAGGATTTGGAGGGGTCTGGATACTCTTACCCCCTGGGAACCCTGAGGATGCTGGAATGAGGAGTTACCAGGACAAAGACGATGCCGCCAGTACCGACCCCGTGGCATGTGAAGTTCGAAGCCCTGTGTCGCTTGTTTATAGCATTGTTGAAAAAAGAGACTCAGTGACTCTTCAGGCAGGAGCTGTGGGCATAGTGACAAAGTAAAAGGGGATTATCTGTTAGGGGCTTGTCAAGTTCTGATGCTTTTCTAAATCTGAGGTGTTTAACCTGGCATCCATAAAACCCAAGAACAAAATTGTATACATAATTGTGTGGGCTCAGGCATTTTCTGAGGACAGATGCCATTGCTTTTACTGGATTTTCCAAAAGGTCTGAACCCAGAAAAGATTATGGATAATTGCCCTAAGATTATCCTGCTCTTCCCAGCTTGGTTCAGAGGATAGAAATCCTCCAGATTAATTTCTCCTATAGGAACATTAATAGGAAAAAGAGAGACCCTCACCACAACCAATGTTCAAAAGCAAATGCTAGGGAGAGGCTGAAGAAAAGGGAGCTGTACAATATCTGGCTATCATTTATGAAAGGAAGGCAGGAACTGTGTGTAGAGCAGGAGCAATGACTAAGTTTCTGAGATTCAAGAACGTTTGGGGTGTCCTTACACTGAGTATTCTGACAGCCTACTTGCATTTCTCCAGAGCAGTGCAACCCATAAAGTAAGAAAAGGCCCATGTGCTGGTTTGGTTTCTTCGGTTTGATAGGTTTTGTTTGTTTTTTAAATATATTTTTTTGATTTCAGAGAGGAAGGGAGAGGGAGATGGAGGGAGGGAGGGAGAGAGAGAGATTGATCAGCTGCCTTCTGCACGACCCCTACTGGAGATTGAGCCTGCAACCCAGGCATGTGCCCTTGACCAGAATTGAACCCGGGACCCTTTAGTCTGAAAGGCCAACACTCTGTCCACGGAGCCAAACCAGCTAGGGCTAGGTTTTGTTTTTGAAGGGGGAGAAGATGGCAAAGAAGAGGGGGTCTCTAGAGCCCATCTTGGAGGAGAAGAACCCCAAGAAATAGGGTGTGTAGTAGCAGGTCTGTAAAGAAAAGGTGACTAAATGCCAGCAAGCCTGAAGAGAGGAAGGAGCCTGGGGGGCTGGACATGGGGGTGAGGCTGGAGCCCATGCGGTTCCTGGTACATATCCTGACAATAGCCTCTCTAAACCAAACCTCTTCTCTCCTCCCCCAAATCAGTACCCCCTCCTTCCTTATTTATGCCAAGGAAATGACACCTCTGTCAATTGATATTGCTAGGGAACCCCTGCACTCAATACTCAGTAAATACAAGATCACATGATGAGACAGTCTCTCTCTCTCTCTGGGACAGTCCAGTCCAGTTGGGGAGAAAACTCACAACATCAGTTCTTCTTTTTCATCCCAGTACTGTATGTGGTGGAATGCCCAGATAGAGGAGCAAGGCATCAGAGTGCTCTGTACAGTGTTTGGTTCACACAGTGAGCACACTACCTCTGTTCCTTTTGCTCTGTTCTCACCACTGCTACCAAGAGCTGGACGGTATGTCTCCTCACCTCCCTTCCATTCTGACCACTGTAGCTGGATCAAACACCATCACCACCTTCACTGTTCCCCTCCCACTCTTGCAGTGGCTCCCTATCACTCATTAGATAAAGTCTTGATTCTGTGCACTAGTGTTCAATGCCCTCCATCTGCTTACTCCTCCACAGTCCCCCACCCCACCCTAAACACACACAAACCCACTACATACAAAGGGAGTTTCTGCTTTGGTCAGGTCGTCTCTCCACTACTCTCCCAAGGAACTATGAACTGTCCACCTCCTGCCACTCCTCTAAAGCTGCCAAGCCACCCGTGAGCCATAGGCCTTGTATGAAGCTTCTGTCACCACATGCCCACCATTGTCTTCTGTCCTCAGAGCTCCCATGACCATCATTGTCCACCCTAATCATAAGGAGCCTGCTTTGGGGCATGCTGAGTTGAAGAAGGCAGCAGTAAATGAAGGTGGAAATGTCCAAGAGGCAGATGCAGATGCTAGATTAGGGCTAAACTGGGGCTGGAGTGGGGGTGCATAGCACCAAGGCACTGTGAGTAGCAGGAATGCAGAGAGAAAAGAGCAGGGAGACAAGGACTGAACGTTACAGCTTTGCCCTTATTCAGGGCAATGAGGAGAAATGTGGGTAGGAAGAGAAGACAAACGATATAGACATCTTCCATAGTAGGAATAGATAAAATGGAAGCATAATAGTTTTATTCATAAATTTAGAAGAAAATAAGAAATGTTAGAAGAAACAGCCAAGCCCAACCTGCGAGGCTCAGTGGTTGAGTTTTGACCTATGAACCAGCAAGTCATGGTTCAATTCCCAGTCGGGGCACATGCCCAAGTTGTGGGCTCATCTCTGGTAGGGGCATGCAGGAGGCAGCCGTTCAATGATTCTCTCTCATCATTGATGTTTCTATCGCTCCCTCTCCCTTCCTCTCTGAAATCAATAAAAAAATATTTAAAAAGAAGAAGGAAGAAGAAACAGCCAAGAGTGGATGAAAGTTACCACCGTGGAACAGGAATCAGGTGGGAGTGGACATTAGAAACCTTCTAAAATTGTATTCTATTTCACTTTTAAACTATGGACATGTATTACTTTTTTAAAAATATGTTTTTATTGATTTGAGAGAGGGAGGGATAGAGAGATAGAAACATCAATGAGAGAGATATCGATCAGCTGCCTCCTGTATGCCCCCACTGGGGCTTGAGCCCACAGTCTGAGCATGTGCCCTGACCAGGAATGGAACCAATGACCTCGTGGTTCATGGGTTGATGCTCAACAACTGAGCCACACCAGCTGGGCTGGACATGGATTACTTTAATAAAGTACAAATTATATGTTATAAAAAGGAGAAACACTGTACTAGAAACTAGTAAATAAAAGGACTCAACCATTTATCTTGCTTTTTCTCTACAAAATAGACCTCAGAATAATCGAATAATTAATGATGGCAAGTTTCATTTTATAGGAGTAATCCAAGTAATAAAAGAAAAAGAAATGATAGAATTGGAATATCACCACTTTGCACCCCCTAATGAAATCATGGATCTAGCCCTAGCCAGTTTTCTCAGTGGTTAGAGCATTGACCCTCAGACTGAAGGCTGGGGTACTGAATGCATGGGGGCACAAGCAGGAGGCAACCAATCAATGTTTCTCTTTCTCTCTCTCTCTCTCTCTCTCTCTCTCTCTCTGTAGCTCCCTCTCCCTTTCACTCTCTAGAAATCAATGGAAAAAAATATCCTTGGGTGTGGATTAACACACAAAAAAGAAAAGAAATCATGAATCTAGGCAATGATCATCAGTGGCCGTTCACATGACCAAATGAGAGGCTGACATGGGGGAAGGGATACATAGATAAAACAAAATTGACCATGCGTTGATCATTGTTAAAGCCTCTGTTGTAGGAATATAGGACTCCATTATACCCTTCTCTTCTACTTGTGTATGTTTGAAATTTTCCATAATAAAAAGTTAAGTAGAACAAAAAATGAACAAAGCAACAAAGATAAATTCAGCAGAGACTCCAAGAAGATTCCAAGTCTCTGAGATGTTCTGTGCCCCACGCCCACCCCCAACACAAAAGCTAGCCACTGTTGGGGTCCCTGCTCTCCTCACCTGGATCTGTATTGTCAGCTTCCGGATTTCCAGGCCCAGCTGCTGCTCCACCTCCAGGGCCAAGCTGTCCTCTGAGGCCAGGCTAGAGAGAACTTCTGCCTGATGTAACAGAGGCTTTGGCAGAAACAGGGAGTGAGGTCTGCGCCCAGCCTAGGCTGCTCCCCTCCCCATCCCTAGCTACTTACAGGTAAGTCCTTCTGGATCAGGAGCAGGAAGGAACCTGGGGCCCATGCTGCCAGATGCTGCTGAGCTCTGCCCCAAAACCAGAGCAAGGTTGTCTGCAAGGTGCAGAGCCCCAGGGCAAGGGGTACAGGGCCTGGGGAGGGGAGGGACAAGTATCTGAGGGGTCATGGAGCACCTCTGGGAGGAGCCAGCCTTTAGAACAGAGGGAAAGAATAAAGGAGATAGCCTCAGCTGTGCTCCTGTTTCGCCAACCCCAGCTGCTTGTCTCACCTGGAGGCTGACAGAGGAGCAGCCCTGACTTGGGCTCTTGAAGGGCAGCCAAGAGAGGAGGGAAGAGCTGTTGCAGAAGTTCGGTGGTCTGAGAGGATGAGGAAAGGCGGCTCTGATCACCAGCAGACCCCAAGGCTTGGCAGAAGACTGCAGATGAGGGGGCATGGTTTGGTAGGGAAAGGTCAACTGGGGTTTGCGTCGCTCCCAGTGCCCCTTTCTCCTCACCCTTGGTCCCAGCTCCGGGATAAGAAGACTGATGAAACAGGCTGTGACACCAGAGAAGCCAGCTCCTTTCTCACACTCCCTGAGGCAGGGACGCTAATAGGAGAAATGACTCCGCGCCCTGCAAACAAGGCCTCCATTTTCTACAACCACTGCCCACGCGACGATGGGGGGAGAGAGGAGGCATCCCCCCAAACTCAAGACGAGGGTGAAAAAGCAAGACTTTGCCTAGAAGGCTCAGAAGGTATAGCCCTGGATCCCCGGGTTGTAGAGGGGCAGGGGAGCCAGGGGGTGTTCATTGTAAAAGGGCCGCTTTTGTAGTCAGGCTGGCAGGTGAGTGAGGTGACTAACGGAGAGGGGGCTCCAGCCTTCCCACACGCCCGCCCAAGGCCACCACTCACCCCGACTCGGCGGCGGTGCCGGGGCCGCTGCCCCGGGGTCCCTCCAGGGTCCCAAACTGAGGTCCAGACGCTGAGCACAGGCTGCCCAGAGCAGGGTCCAGTACTGGCTCCACAGGGCTCCCGCCCCACCCAGCCCGGGTCCACCGCCGGCCGAACCTGCCACGCCCCCGACCAAGCCCAAGAGACCCAGCAGCAGCTCCCGCTCCTCACACCACCACGAGCGGAGCTGGTCCCACGAGCCCGAGCCCCTGAGCGCCTCCTGCAGCCGCCCAGCCACCTGGGAACCCCGCTCCTCCGCCAGGAGGCAGAGCACGCGGCCCGGGGGGAAAGGGCGCGCGGCCCCCGGGACGTGGCGTGAGGCTTTTCCCTGCAGCTGATGGTAGGTGGGGAGCGCCAGCAGCAGGTCCGCCAGCTGAGATGACAGGACGCGGCTGGCGGGCGCCCGGCCCAGAGCGCGGAGCTGCGCCTCGATGACGGCATCCAGGCGCTGGGCGGCCAGTCCGACGGGGCGCGCCAGGAGCAGCGGCTCGGGAGTCTCTCCAAGGCCGGTCCGCGGGGCTGCCTTTCGGGGAAGCGGCGGCAGCAGGTCGCGGCACAGCTGAGGCCAGGGGTCCGGGCCCGGGAACGGCGCGCCGGGCTCCAGCATCCTCAGGAGGCGCACGGCCGCCTGGAGGTGGCGGGCGCAGTCCCGCACTTGCAGGAGCCGCTCCCGCTCGCGGTGCAGCCGCAGCAACACGGCCCGGAGACGCTGCAGCGCGGGAGGGACCGGCCCGCCGGCGGCGGCCTCCTGCCTCGGGTCGGCGGCGCCAGCCTCATGGTGGCCTCCCTTGTCCGTCGGCGCCGCCCACCACGGCTGCCCTCTGGCAGCTCCGCCGGGCCGCTGGTCCAAGCAGGGGAGGCTCCCGGCCACCGGCAGCCCCAGCTCGCCGCGAACGTCCCCGCCGATGGCGCCCGCTCGCCTCTTCTCCCACGGCTCCTCCCCCGCGGCTCCCGCCTGCGCCCACGGCTGCGGCCCCGGAGCGAGCGGAGGCAGGCCATCGGAGCGGGACGCCCGGGCCATGGGTCGGCGGGCCCGGAACGATCCTAACGATCCCCACTGGCCCGCACCGCCCAACGTCCGCCGGAGCCCGGGCTCCGCCCCACCCACGGAGCCGTCATTTCTGGCTCGGCGGCCGCGGGACCGTCCTGAACCCTCTCGCGCCCCGTAGTCGGAGGCTTCCGCCCCTAACAAAGATGGCCGCCCACGTCGCCCTCTCACCCCTCCGCCCCTACCCCTTCGGCCCACATCAAATACGCGTCTGACTCTTTCACTTTCGGGTTACTGTGGACGCGAGATGCCGCTGGTTCCGAAGGCAGCGGGGCGGATCAAGCTAGGTAAGCAGGAGTGTGGGGACCGGGGCATCCAGGCGGGCAGGGCAGCCTCTCTCGGGTCTGTCTGTTTTCAGCAGGGTTTTCAGTCTCACGCGGTGGGTGAGGTCTCCGGCCAATCGCTCTCCCTGACAGGCGGCTTTCTCTCCCTGTAGACTGTCCTCTGCGGCCCGGCTGCCCGCTGGGGGGCGCTGCTGTCCCCAGACTCTGCAAGGAATTCGGTCCCGAGGACTACGGCGAAGAGGTAAAGGGACTCCCGGCTCCCCCGCGCCCTGTTCCGATCGATCACGCCTCTGTCCACCCCGCGGTGCCGAGTCTCGCCCTGGCCCGGAGCCCCGCTGGGCGGCGGGCTTGGAGGGGCGGGGCCTCGGGCCCTGACCGGGAGGGCGCGGCGCGCGGCCGGGGCGGGGCGGGGCGGGGCGGGGGAGGCGGCGACCCGGGAGGACGCAGCCGGATCGATCGGTGCGAGAGGTGCTCGGGGTGTGGCAGGTGAGAGTCTGTGGGTTGAGGATCGGGGCGGGGGTAGGAGCTCCTTGGACGGTGTAATGACAAGAGGAGGCAGTGGGAGCAAAGACACCAAAGCAAGGAAAAGTTAAAAGAACTTCATCGACGTGAAACCTGAGCGGAGGGTTTGTTTTAAACGGTAGGAGGTGAGGAGGGAACGAAGGCACTTGGCAGGCCTTGCCCAGCCCAGGGTTGGGATGTTCTCAGGTAGGTGATGTGGTTACTGAGGGAGGGACAGGACCAGATTTGGGAACACTGAGAAGCTGTCCTTCCAGCGGCTTCATGGTTACCTCTAAACACCGCAAACTCACCAGTCCAGAGGTTCATCATCTTTGCAAATGGATTGCTTTCCCTCTAATCTTAGTTTTGGTTGATAACGCAGACTTCCACCCAGAAATCTGGAAGTCACTCTATGTAGTCCTTCCTCCCTTTCCTGTACGCCACACATGCAGGTAGTCACTCCTTCTGAAGTGTCTCTCCAATGGAACCCATCGTTTCCGTTCCTGCTCCTGCTGCCACTGCCTCAGTTCAAGAACTTGTTCTCGCCCCAGCTGGTTTGCTCAGTGGATAGAGCGTCAGCCTGTGGACTGAGGGGTCCCAGGTTCCATTCCCGTCAAGGGCACATGCCCAAGTTGCAGGCTCAATCACCAGTGTGGGGCGTGCAGGAGGCAGCCAATCAATGATTCTCTCTCATCAGTGATGTTTCTATCTCTCTCTCCCTCTCCCTTCCTCTCTGAAATCAATAAAAATACATATTTTTTTTTTAAAAAAAAAGAACTTATTTTCTCTGGCCTGGACAGTGGTAATGGTCTTGTCACCAAACACTCCACCAGGAGTATTTTATCTGGATGTTTCACTTCCCGTATCAGATCCACTCCCATCACTGACGGGACAAAGTTCCAGCTTACTGGGTCATACGGAGTTCTTCAGATACAGCTCCCGGCAGCATCTCTATTAGAATAGTCTCCTCCCCGCTCTGTCTGCCGTTACCCACTCAGCACACACTCACTGAGCACCAGCTGTGCCTCCAACACAGGCAGTTTTATGCTGGGAAGACAAGTCTATCAAACAGATAAAAGCCCCTTTATTAAATGGATTTGAAGTATCTAGTGGAAGCAGCCAATGAATAAATAAACAATATAGTATGTCAAATACAAGAAATGCAAAGGAAAATAAAGCAAGGAGGAGGCTAGTGGCCACTGAGTGGAGTTCAGAGACTTGTGGTTTTAAAAGGAATGGCCAGAGAAGGTTTCTGTACAAAGGTTTAAGCAGAGAGTTGAAACGGGGCAGAAGATTGAGCCATTCACTGGGGAAAGAGCATTCCAGGCAAAGGAAATACGTACAAAAGCCCTGAGAGGTTAAAAGTGAAGCTTCTCAGTGCACTTGGTGTTGTAGGAACTTAAGAGGAGGTCACTGTAGCTGGAGGAGGGTGATAAGATGGTAGGAGGTGATTCTTGAAGGCATGTCATGTGTGGCCAGGTTGTGAATTAAGACAACAGCATAAAATGTGTTTGGAGGAGAGGCGGAAGGTCAAAGAAGTCTTTTTTGTTTGTTTGTTTGTCTTAAGGTGGCTGGACTGGGCTGAGGAGGAAGAGGGAGGTTGAAGATATAGGGAATGATCTATACTGGTATTTGAATGGCAGGTATATCCTGGGGAGGCTGCCTCAAATGGGTCCAGAGCATGCATTATTTATGTCTAAGTTCCAGTTTTGGAAGTTGAAATAAACCCACCAACAATTCAAATTTGAGAATAAAGCTTGATGAAAGTGCCCAGCAACATACGTGAAGGTGCTGTTGAGTCCAGACTGTCTCCTGACGGGAGCCCTGTGTCTAACATTGTTTAAAGGTTGCCTATAGCTCAGTGATCTGAAGGCCTGCCTACACATTATTTTAGCACTCTGGAGTTTCATGTGGCTTCTAACTTTCTCAGTCAGCAGGCCACCACCTAGTCAGGGTCTGCTCTGTTTAGGCCTGATTAGCCACACTGGGACGTGATGATTCCTGTCCTTCTTAGTTTAATTTTTATTTTTTTATATATTTTATTGATTTCAGAGAGGAAGGAAGAGGGAGAGAGAGAGAAACATCAATGATGAGAGAGAATCACCGATTGGCCACCTCCTGCACCCCCCGCACTGGGGGTCGAACCCGCAACCTGAGCATGTGTCCTTGACCGGAATCAAACCTGGGACCCTTCAGTCCACAAGCTGACGCTCTATCCACTGAGCCAAACCAGCTAGGGCCTGTCCTTCTTAGTTTACACTAACTGAGAAAACGATTCTCATCAGAACCACAGAACGTACAGGCCAGGCCTTGAAGAATCTTGCCTCATTTTGTGAATGAGGAAGTTGAGGTCCAGAAAGATTAAACAACTTGTCCCAAATCAAACAGCCAGGCAGTGGCTGAGCCAGAACCAGGATGCAAGCAGCTCTGCTCCGACACAGTGCCCTTCCCTGTCCGTAGTGCTTCACCAACAAGAGACCAATAAAAAGCAGTGAATAGCCCTAGCTGGTTTTGCTCAGTGGATAGAGTCGGCCTGCGGACTGAAGGGTCCCAGGTTCGATTCTGGACAAGGGCACAAGCCCGGGTTGCAGGCTCCATCCCCAGGAGGGGGTGTACAGGAGGCAGCCAAGCAATGATTCTCTCTCATCATTGATGTTTCTATCTCTCTCTCCCTCTCCCTCTCTGACATCAATAAAATATATATATATTTTAAAAGCAGTGAATAGTAATGCTCTATATTGTAGCATCTATGTGAGCGCAGCTTGGTTGAGAGAGGGTAGAGATTATTGGAGATAAAGGGTCTGGCATGTCATTGAGGGGAGATAGAATTTGAACTGGACCTTGAAGTTGAGACAAGATGTGGTAAGAAAGCAGGTCAGAGCCAGGGGGGTTCCAAGGACCACTGGGGGAAAGCCCTAAGGCTGGAAAGAGCCTGGTGGCAGAGGGAGGCTTGGAAAGGTCAGCCAAGTAGCTTTTTGGAAGGTTCCAGATCCCAGGCTGAGGAGCTAGAGGCCAGCGTGCGGCCTTGGCAGTAGGGGATTACTGGAAGGGTCTCAGTAGGGGAGTAATTGTTGAGAGCTTGGCTGTGGGAGGACATGCAGTGCAGGGGAGAGGCCAGCCAGGAATTGCTGCACTCGGTTAAGCGTGAGGTAGCTCCAGGCGGGTTGTATGGGGGCTGTTCATATTCCAAGATATGACAGGGGGCGTAACTGGACGAGCAGGTAAGAAGACTCGGTCTTAGGACTTCGTTTTAGTGGCTGACCTAGTGGCAAATCAGGGGAGGAGATACTGGATGTTTGAGAAGGCCAGGCTGAAAGCCACACTCAGCCCTGGGGAAGGCAGGACAATAGTGAAGTGAGGTGATACACCCTGAAAGCTGAGAGCAGTGTGTTTGAGGTGCTGAGCTGGGAGAGGTTGGCCAGTTAGGTTCTCCAGGCTGGGTGGCTGCTTTGTGATTTCCGTGGTGGCGGGGTCAACCTAGCCAAGCCCCTTGCTCTCTCCCAGAGCTCCCCCCAACACCAGCCTACCCTCCCCTCCTCTCCCAGGACATAGTGGATTTTCTTCGACGGCTGGTGGAGAGTGATACCCAGGGCCTGCACCGGATCCGTGTGGATGGGAGCAGCGGGCGGCTGCAGCTGTGGCACCATGGTGGGGAGTGAAGGGGCCGGGCCCAGGGATCAAGGCTGGTACCCTGGGGAGGGCTGACCCTCAGATGCTCCTCTCTCTCATGTTCTTTCTTTCCCGTCTCTTTCTCCCTCCTGACAGATTACCTCCTGGACCAATTCCATGATGAGGGAGAAACAACTAGACAGAGTGACAGGGGCAAGGGGGCTGCGGGACTGGGTACCTACTGTGGTCTCCAAAAGTCCTTCCTGTACCCTCCCCAAGGGTCTAAGCCCTGCCCTCAAAGACCCTCTGCCTCGGCATCTTTGCCCAGGGGCTCAGACAGCCTGCTGCAGGTGCCCATGCCCCAGAAGCTCCTGCTGACAGAGGAGGTGAGACTGTCTGCATGGGGCTTCACCCTCCCCCAGGGATCTTCGAAACCCCATATTCCCATATCTATATCCCTTCTAATCTGGACCTTTCAAGATCCTTCCATACTTGCCTCTTTGTTGCTTTCTCTCTCTTTTCCTGCCACTTGCCCTTCCTCCTCCAGGAAGCCAACCGTCTGGCTGAGGAGCTGGTGGC